TCTCGCCATTGAACAAAATGGAAGTTTGAAAGTGCACGCCACTTTTGTCGTCTTCGATTCCGTTGCGATACTGGTTTTGTTTTATTTCCTGGCATTTTCAAACAAAAGCTAGAATGTGGCCACACTTAGAAAAGAGAGGGGCGGTCGTTTCTGTTCGGAGAGCAGTTTGGTTGCGTGGATCCTATTTCCGGCTGGCATACTGACACGTTGTTGGGATTTTTTTTTAACCAAGAATTTTAATCGGAATTTGGGAAGCTTTCTTAGGGCTCAGTTTAAACATATGCCAAAGGGAAGGGTATGGCAGTGCCTTAATAATACGAATTCAAGTTACTATTTTGTATCTTTTAGCCTTTCACAAGTATGCTGTTGTAGTCACCCAAACTTTATATTCAAAACAGCAAGCGAGTTGTGTGAAGCTTACTGTAAAAAAGCCACAACAGAAACTTGATTTTGAAAAACTGTCAACAATTTGTAGACAGATTTATTCTGTTTTCTACTACACTTGTATTTCACAGCCTAGCATAAACACAACTAACTTACTCTAGAGATAGTTTGCAGGCCTCATACAAAATACCTGTTCAAAAAAGGCATGTTAACTGCTACATTAGGTCATTTTAAGCTGGTTTGATCTTGAACCAGATGATCAGGGCCTAGAGTAGTCCCAGGTCTAATATTCCGTTTTTAAAAATTGTAATGTTGAAAATCAGTATTGGCTTAGGGCCGTAGTGTTTGCAAAGTCTCCACCTAATTCAGATAGTTCCTTTATTTAATAGTGTCTGCAGACACCCTGCCTTTCCAGGTGATTCTATCAGGGCACTGGGAGTAGGGGGGTGGGGCCTGGGTCTTTAGTCCCCTGCTATGCACAGTCACTAACTCATACATTTGCATACCTTAACAGCAATTTCACTTTAAGGCTTTTCTGTTCTGCATACTTCCATTACACTCTTGCTCTTATATTTTATTTGTCCCTTTGTTTTCTGTTGACTTAGTTGAGCTGAGCAAAACTGAACTTCGTTTTATTCATGATATGACTTGTGCATATTTATTTTTATAGCTGCCCAGGAGATTCAGGTTTTGTATTGAGCTGAAGAGTTAGTTAGTATTTGTTCTCCACTTGTTTTATAACTGCCCAGGACAGAATAGAACCCACGGAATCCTGGTTTTTAATGAAAAGACTTCGGAAGCTCATTTTTGGAACATGTAGTCTTGTTTTGAACAGCTTAATGGTAAGACATGTCTGGTATGAACGAACATTTGGAAAGTTTACTGAGTCAGATAGTTTCTTTTTAAATTAAACATTGCGTGAAGGCTAATTTCTGGCTCACAGTGACCTGAAACGTTGACCGTTTGGTCTTGCCTGGGCTCTTTAGTACTTATGTGTGACCTCAGACATTAAAAACGCATCTTGCCATGCAGTGATGTCAGGAAGTTAGTCAACATAAATTTTACTCAGCAGCGATGGCATACGTATTTCTGCAAGCCAGATGTTGAAGACAGACAACTGTCAGGTAGATTGACAGTGGCCCTGACTTGGTTTCGGTTCTGAGGCAGGGGAGAGACAAAGGACTTAATTCTTCATAGTCTGGGCCTCATCTCCTTGCATGACAGCTGCTATGCCTACAGCTGTGTATTGCATGTGGTGCCTTTCAGAATTCATTAGATCTCTGGTGGATCGGGAGCGTCCTGGGCAATAAGAAGCACTGATTTCTTTGCATGTAAAGCAGCCTCTTCTCGTTCGTTCGTTCGTTCCGTTTGTTCATATCATATCTATTAGGCCCTTTCTGTTCACCAGGGACTGCTGGTGGTACACAGTTAGGTGGTCATTTGTTAACCTGAATATCAGTGGTTGGCACCCACTCAGCAGCTGTACAAGAGAAAGACCAGGCTATCTAGATGACAGCCGTGGAAACCCTGTTGGGCAATTCCATTCGGCCATGGGGACCCCTGTGTGACTCAACGTTGACTCAACAGTCCTGCAACGACTGAGCCAGGAGCTCTGGTAGGTTGGACAGCCCAGGGCTGTGCAACAAAGCGGCAGTAACTGTTCTCCTGACGCCTGTCAGTCGTTTAGTGGGGGAGACAGGTACTCTAAAAAGTAGCTGGCCAGACCTAGTTGGTTGGCATGTGTAAGCTCACAGTAAATGTACTTCCCTTGACTGGCAAGCAAAGCCTCACACAGATGTAATGAAGGAAAAGAACATGGTGCTGTGTGAGTAGAGTTCACATTGCCTCTGCCCAGGGAGCATGCTGTTTTGCCACATGGACATTTTTGAATTCAAATTGATAGCCGTTCCCTGGTTTCCTAGGGACCTGGCTCCAGAGCCTCCTTCGGATTCCAAAGTTTGTGGGGGAATCGAGTCCCTTATATAACATGAAGTTGTTAAGTGTCGCTTCTGATTCATCGTGCCCTGTGTTCAACAGAACGCCGCACCATCCTCCCAGTTGTCGTGTGTGAGCCCATTGTTGCAGCCGTGGTGTCGGTCCGTCTCATCGAGGGCCTTCCTCTTGTCCTGCTTCTCCACTGAGCATGACGTCCAAAGGATGTGTCTCACCATGCTTGCCCCTACGGGGCTCTCTGTACTGTACTTCTTTCAAGATAGGCCTGTTTGTTCTTTCCGCGCTCCCTAGTACTTTTGATATTCTGTGCCAGCACCATAGCAAATGCATCGACTCATTTTTGGGCTTCCTTGTCCAGCCAGTATTCACATGCATTTGAGGGATTGGAATGCCCTGGAGTGGTATTTGCATATAGTCTAGCCCTTCTTCCCTCCCGCTTTAAATAACCTCTAGATTACTCCGTGTGCCAAATTCAAAGCAAATGCTATATAGATAGATGTAGGCTCATAGTCTCTTAGCCTCTGGGGGATTTTTTTTTTGGGCCGCATAATTACAGTGAACCCTCATTTATCGCGGTTAATCGGTTCTAGACCCTACCGTGATAAATGAAATTCCGCAAAGTAGGATTCCTTATTTGTAAATCAAATATTTTCGTAGTTAGAGCATAGAGGACATGAAAAAACACCCTTTAGTCACCATTACACTCGTATTACCCGATTTATTAAACGAAAAAGGGAAAATGCAGTAAAACATTTTGGACGTTACAATTATCATTTATTATTTATTATATTATGAAGTACAACGGATGGAGCGAACGGAAGACTCATTCAAGTCGAAATGGCGTGCAACCTCCACGATTTTCTTGCCATCTTTGATCATATCCAAAAGTTTTACCTTTTCCTGGATGGTGGGCATCTTCCTCTGGTGCTTATTTTTATTGTCAGAAGGCTTAGAAGAAGCAGCTCGTTTAGGAGCCATCATAGGGCTTAGATAAAATTTCTTAAAAATCGCAAACAATTACAGTACACTGTACAAAAGCAAAAATGCACCTGATACGTAGCTCCGATACGTAGCGATGCAGACAGAAGCGTGTACAGTATGAGCCAATCAGTGGCAGTAATGACAGAGCATGCGCTGTTACGCAAAAACCGCGATAGAGTGAAGCCGCGGAAGTCGAAGCGCGAAGTGGCGAGGGTTCACTGTACTCCCCCATTTTCAATCTACCGGTAAGTCAGTGAATGCAGAACCTGCAGATAACTGAGCACACATTCGACTTGTTTTGGATGCTCAGTTTTGTAATTCATCTTACTCTTCACATGACTGAGCAGCAAGCTCTGTAATCAGAGTGAACCTGAGAGGGACAAAGGAAACTTTTCAGTGGCTAGGAAGGGATGGTTTTTAGTGCTGGATGTTTCAGATTATTTTAAAGTGAATCATAAGCAGATTCTAATCCATAAAGTAACACGGGGAGGCCAAATTTAGCAGTATAGGTGGTCACGGAGTTATGAATGAGGCCTGTTCCTAAGTATGTCTTTCAGTTCAATTTGTAGGCAAGGCACTATGCTGGGTGCATACAGTTCTTTTAGCCCCACTTTAAAATAAGGCTCCGAACTTGGAGTGCAGCTTTCCAAGCTGCAGGTTTCTAAGCTGCGTCAAGTGAAGGTGCTCATGAGAAGGGTGGTGTGAGGTAGGGCTTGATTTGCATGACCCAAGCCAGTGTGTTTTCAAATGCCGCCAATGCATATGCAAGTTGGACACGGAATAAGGAAGACTGAAGAAGAATCAATACATTTGAATTGTGGCGAAGAATATTGAAATATCATGGACTGCCAAAAGGACAAACAAGTTTGTCTTAGAGAAAGTACAGCCAGAGTGCTCCTTAGAGGCAAAGATGGCAAGACTTTTTTTTATCTGACATGCTTTGGACATGTCAGGAGAAGCACATCATGTCTGGTGAAGTATGGAGGGCAGTGGCCAGCAGACAGACGGCCCTC